TTCGATAATTCAGAAATTCGATTATGATATAAATGACTCTAATAAGCCATACTAATATTATAAATTGTATTTGTATTCTTGGTTGGTACATTTTGACGACTAATCCCCTAAACTGATCTTAATGAATGTGAGGATAGATTGTGTCTTGTGATATATATAATATTATTATTCAACACGTGTAAAGTAAGAATAGAATGATGTTGATTATACAATAAAAAAGTACCTATAGTTATATATATATTATATATATTAGTATAGTATTTGTTACCAGAATGATATTATTTTTTTGTGTATTGATACAAAATATTCATATCTTTTGTACATGTATAATAGGATGTAAGAGACAGGCACCCGCCCGTAGAATTAGGGCGGTGCAAAATAATGTTATTTTCTAGAAAATAACTTCGCGTGGGCCATTACCTTGCTCAATGAGATTACTGTTCGTCGAATGTTACATATATACCTACTTCCTGTTTAGTTACGTGGAAGATCGTTAAAAAATTCCTCGGAATACAGCATTAAGTGTAAAAACAAAGTATGTATATGTATGATTGAACTGAAGTAGACTGCCAAGCAGCTTACTTTGTTAGCTATGTTTCGATTGGAGGGTGAGATGTAACAGTGATGAAACAGTCCTCCAGAATAACAACTTAGGAGGGGTTGCATGAAGACATTGGGTAGTGTGTCCACGCAATAAAACTACGATATAGGCATTCTTTAGTATTCGTTCTATTTCTATTCGTAAGGGCTCTAGCTTGCGTCTACCCCTCTCACCTGAGCGCGATAGTAATACTTTTAATTAAAATTTTGCCTTAAATATACAATATGTATATGTTCCGCTCTACTCGGATTACTTTTTTAACTCCGTGGTGTTGTTCATATATGTATATAGGTGACAGTTTTTTCTTTATTAATGATAATGGTATGGTGCATCCGCCTGCGTTAACGGTTTACGCTGGCGGGGTACCAGTGGGGGATGATAAAACGAGCGTGAGGTTAGGTCAGTTAGGCCCTCGTGACAAATCCAGCAGGATCTTATTACGATGGTTTCCAGGGAGAACCGCGTGTAGATCAATCTGACATTACTTACAGTCCCCTTCCCTCCCTCCCCCCCTCCCATCAGGCAGGTCTTCAGCTTGCATTCCAGTTACATATTAAAAAAGGAATCGATTATACAAAGTGTGGATTTGAGGAATGCTGTACATATTGTAGATATTAAGAGCGGGACAGCACCGAAAGCGTTATTTTTCACTATTCATGGGTTTTGTGAATCGACGATCATAGAATTTTACGAACTAGGTATATAGTATAAATAAAAATCATACGTATTCCTGTCTATCCGTTTGTTGATGCATGTGTTATTTTAACAATTCAATATTGCACAGTCACATAGAAATTATATATGTGAAAGTAGATCTGCTTGTGTGTTACTTTACACAACTAAACTAAAACTAGATGACCTCGGTGGTCCAGCGATTTAGTACACCGCCTTAAATCAATGGTAGCGGGTTCAATTCTTCGCACAATGGAAACATTGTATTCTTGAGTATGATTGTTTGTATCGGTATGTTAGTTTTCCAAGTAATTATGTACAAAATATATCTAAATATTCTATCAGTTGCCTGGTATACATTAAACAAGTTCAGCTTAACTTTGGACTATAGATGGCGCTGTGTGAATCATCCAGGTTAATATTAATATTGAGTGACATAGATATTTGTGATGTATCACGAAATCTAGATATGCGTAGATTATCTTTTCGCTCATACAACTGTTATTTTTTTATACAATTATGATCAAAACATATACGTCCCATCTGATGTCTTTTAAGGTTCGGCAACATGTTGCCGATACCTTAATATTCTTAATTTTAATCTTCTTGAATAGCCTATAAAAACCAGACCAAGTCATGGGTAACAGTAGTAAATATTTCAATTTAAAACCTTATTTCAGTATTAACGTACTACGTTACAGCATAACAAACAAGCTAACTAAATAATTAAAACAGATAATTTAATTAGATATCAGATATATACCTTTTGCAGTTAATTAAAAACGTGTTTACTGAAAGTTCACTAATCCGTAACAGAAGTAGCTATGTAATATATTTTATTCAATGAAAGCTACATTTTCACTGCATGCACTTAACTGTCGAAGAGCAGGTATACTTACATGTAAATTGCTTAGTGAAATATGTTTATAAATATTCCATATTTTGTATGTAATTGTTATAGTAAATAACATGTCGGTCTATATGGTTAGTGGAAACGAAGGTTTTTAATAGCACAGGTGGCAAACGACCTTACGGCTCACCTGATGGTAAGTGATTACCGCTGCCCATGAGCACCCATAACTCCAGAGGAAATGCAAATACGTTGCTGGCTTTTTAAGAACAAATAAGCTCATTTCTTGATGATTTCAATATCATATCGGTTCAATAATACCATTGCTGAAAGGTAATTTCACATTGTGGTTGTGAAATCACGTTTTATGAATGATAATAGAATGCTACTTTCACCTGAACTAATGGTTTACGCGGAACAGTAATGGAGAATTAGATGAGCAAAGAGGTAAGCTCAGATAGCCTATCGTGGCAATTTGACCAGGAATTTATCAAGATGGTTTCCAGGGGGAACAGCGTGGAGGTCAATCTGACATGGTACTGTGTAGCAATGGGATTATTACGAACAATCACCTTCTCCCTGCCAACGATGACCGGTATACATGACATCACATCATCATGTAACCTCACTAGGTACACAGTACTCACAGGCATTGCTATTTACGCCTAAGGTGCCGTATCTTGCGATCTCAACGGGCATATTTCATCCTTCAACCGAAACATAGCAAAAAAAACAAACATAATCGAACAAGTTAGAAATGAGTTGTTGAAATCGAGTTTCTCTGTTATTTGTGACTATTCTGTATTCCGAACACTACCGATAATGCTATTAGTGTTTATGTATGTTTGTATATATATATATGTATTTATTTGATTTTATTTTATTTACGGAGAACTACTTACACGAATTAAGGACATAATAAATCAATATAATAAAAGAAAGTTAAGTAGTAAGTATTTTTCTTGGTTACACGAATTATAACAGATTAACATCACAAATATTTTTTATAATTAAAATGTAGACTTTCTATGTGGCCAGCTACATACAATGGAATTCTTTAAGATATACAAGTTCTATCGCCGGTTTTTTTGCTAGAGAAAGAACCTTAATCTTTTAGTTGTGTGGTATAATTTTTTTATGTATAGTTCATAAGACTTCTCGAGTTTATTTTACTATATCGACTACAGTTTTCTTTTCTAATGACTTATTACTTATTAAATTTATAGATATACTACTACTACTACTACTATCTCAATAAATATATGCGAATATTGATAATATTCTCATCCGTACGAGGTAGCTTTCTAAAATGTTATTACATTATAGCCCACTATTCAGAGTGGGGTGGTAGAGGTACAAAGTCAAACCACACCGTTTCAACTGCAATTTACCTGTAATTCCGTAGAATCCGAGTTTTGGACCTATTTATTATTCGAGCTGTAACTTTTTATTGCATGGCTTATTAATTTTTATGGCACCGATTTGGTAGCATTTTTGTCATTTGCTGCATGTTAACCTCGTTTAATGTTCGCTGTAAAACGATATTATAATCCGATCTAAAGAGGTCATAAGATTATGACACTATACTTTTTATTTTTATGTTTCAAAATTAAATGTTATTTGTGTTTATTGTATGTAAGTACTTATATTAAACATTTTCTTGAACATAACACTTATATTAGAGAATAGATACATTTTTTTATAGAAAATCGTCAGAGACTCAGTAATCCAGAATAGAGTTCAGAGTATTTTAGAAAATAATTATAATTGTTACAATAATAATAGGTATTTTGTTTATATTATATTATTTTATTATTTGTTTATACGAGATATACTCGTAGGTATGTTTTATTTATAAATACTACCTATAAGCTTATTAATATTTATTAAATTAATCTATAATATATCATACAATACAATAATTAACATATGATTTTAATAATATATCTATAACTATGAATACTCTCATAATTAGATTTATAATATTTATTAATAAAATTGCGTTATATTTATATATTCTTTTTGTATGTTGTAGGCGTATGGTTATATTCTATTTTATTTGCTAAAGTAGCATAATGTTTTATAATGGTTATAAAATATATATAAACTAAAGATACATACAGATACCTACTATACAGAGATAATATACTTTTAACAAAATGAAAAATACTACATCGAATACTATGAAAAGTTGTCACAAACCGTATAGTGAACAGAGTAAAAACTCTATATACTTTAAAATAAGATTTTATCTGACAGTGTCTGCGACTCAGCGCATTATAAATTATGGGCAATGCTACTGAAGACAATAAGATTTTAAAACTCTTTATTTTAATCTTCTTATTTAAATTCAGGAAGGGCATCGTTATGACATTATTAAATTATAAGGGGAGATTTTTTCATAACAGTTAACTTACGTTATGTACACTATAGTTCCAACACTTATATCGTCAGTTTAATCTAGAAACTAATTCCGTTTCAAATTCATTGGATTGCGCTATTTCGCATATTCTTATACCCTTGAATTTTAGGTACAGATATTACTCTCATATTTCATGTTCAATAAAAGAATTTCAATCAAAAGAACAGTACAACATTGGATTGGATTGAAATCGATATTGAGATTAAACTTCTGAGCAGATGTACCAATTTTAAAATTTATGTTATCACGAGAAAATGCTTAACATTGTTATTTTGAATATTTATATTTTTGGTAGGTTTTAGGTCCATTTCAAACTAATGTATATTTTATTAGCAGATCAGGAGAGAGTCGGTCGCCTCGACCGATCTCGCCTAGATTTGAAGCCACGTCCTTTGGGGTGTCCACACTAACAATCTAGTCTCTTATTGATATAAAAACTATGTAAATTTCAACAGGTGATATCTTCGTACTGGTATTCTCCATGGACAGTCGTGAGTCCTTCGAAGAGGTAATTCGACTTCGGGAACAGATCCTTGAGACGAAGGCGAGTGCTACTAGTGGAGGGAGCAGGGGGCGACGCCAAATACCAAGAGTACCGATGGCTATAGCTGGCAATAAGTGCGATAGGGAACTCAAGTAAGTCACTGCTTTATAAGAATAGAATTTCACTGCTTTTAAAAACAGGAGTAATATATTACTATCGAACTGTCAAGAAAAGTTTCGAAACTATCTCTAACTCTCTCTTCTGCTACTATGTGTTCTCTTTTCTCTATTCTGTAACATAAACTTGGACATGTCACTTTTAATTCACAATAAGTAATTAGCCTATTTACGCTAGAAAAATGCAGAAACATTATATAGTATATATATAAACATATATACTAAATACAATGGTTGCAGAATGAATACAATAAACAGACTTAGATGTATATTATTTTTTCATTGGGGGGTTTTGGGCTATTCTCAGGTGCCTATAAGACTGCGAACTACACACCTATATCTATTGTGCTCGCCCTTGACTAAGATTTACCTATAAAACTCGTTTGATATCTCATGAGATGATTTTACAACGAGATATATATGTATAGTTATGAAAGAGACTACTTACTAATGATTATATTTGTAGTTAGATATTTTTTTTGTAAAAAAAAATCTTTTATCTCTTAGGACTGTCCAACCCGAAGAAGCAGCAGCATATTGTTCCACCCAGGACACGGCTTGTGTGTTCATCGAAACGTCTGCTAAGAAAAACTATCGGGTCGACGACCTTTTCTACGAGCTATTCGTCGTTGCCAATTTACCATTGGAAATGGCTCCAAACCACCACAAACGTGTCAGCACTGCATTCGGAAGCCCCTGTACGTTACCGCCAACGAGCAGCCAAAGTAATAGAAGCAAGAAATGCACGCTTTCAATAAAAAGAAGATTGTCAGATGCGTGCGGTGTTGTCGCTCCAAACGTTAGAAGACCGAGTATCCGCACCGATCTTATGATAATGAGAACAAAGACTTGTGCCAAAGGGGACAGTGATAGCGCTAGTGGAAGTCCCAAGCTCAATCTCAACCGTCTGGTCAGGACCACTGGCCAGAATGATAAAAGGTCATGCGTCATTCAGTGATATTTTCTCTCGAACTGATTGTCTTTGAGGTCGATAATGTTAATGGTGATTTTATTCTATGATGTATTGGACAGTGGTGCTATAAAGTATGTATCAGAAAATAAAGATAAAAGTAAAAAATTTCGCCAGTATTTACTTAAATTTAGAGTTTATTTGGAACGTTAAGGTGAAGGAACAGATAGCGTATACATGTTTCAAATAAAATTAATATAAATGATACATTTATAACTTGAAATCAAAATCCTATTATTTTTTTTTAATTCGTTTTATGCATTAAAGCTAAGTTGAAACTGTTTATATCCAACATGAATTTGAAAACTACCATGGTGCATCCACTACGTGTGTCCACAATAACAAATTACCGTGGTGTACTAAGATTTTATACGTTATATGGAACATACAAAAATCAGTTTAATCTAAACCTAAACTTTATTGTACAAGGCAGCTGTGATGCTATAATATTTTAATGATTGACTTTGTTCTGTATATATCACACAGTTCACAGTTACAGTTATAAACTAAGTTTTATAGTACGCATTTGTAACTATCAGTCAAATGGGTCATACATAATAGCTATAATTTATTAAGTAACAATTATTTTAATAAGGTATTATATCTAGTCCTTGGACTACAATGGGTGTTGCATTGGTTCCCAGGTATTAATAATAAGTGAACACTAACGTACATTAAACGTGAAATAATTATGCATTTCAACGTTACCGAGGCTTACACGAGCAGCGCTTTGCTAACAGTCTCCACTGTACTTCTGCAGTTGACACCTGTCAGCGGTTACTGTCAACATGTCGACAGTTGCCAGTAAGTCAGCAACCAAATATATATTTAAGTGTATGTACCATACATACATATTTACTTTGCTTATAAAATATAAACTAGATATTTTTGAATAAAACTGAAAAAAATCATTCAAACCGGTTACATTTCAAAAGTTACTATTATATTCTATTTCTTTTGTAAAATGATAATGAAGAAGTAGTAAATGAGAGCGGAGTCCAACTAAAATAGATTTTATCTTCCATTAGCAAGGAGTCCTGATAATTTATTATATTTGCCTTCCGCTGCATAAGAAGTATGAAAATGAACGAATGAATAAAACTATTCGCCCTAGAAATATAAAATGTAGATAATGAAATACGATTGCAGACAAATCAGATTATTGATAATAGTAGTCAAATTTAACTTAATTTATTAATTTAATTTAACGATTCATATCACATGAATATCTGCAGAAAAAAATCAGCTACATTCATATTCTTCACTAAAGAATTTAGTATGTATATTGTAGGTATAGTAATGTTTTTATTTAATCAATGATGGATCACTTCAAAGTTATCAGAGAACAATTTCAAAAAACTTATTGGCTGGGGTCGGGTCGCGTCTATTTCAAACTCGACAGCAGTATTGTGTCTCAGAGAGCTTATCCTCAACTATTTTTATAACATGAAAATACTACGTGAGTTCTATAAAAAGAAATAACGAAACTACATTCTTATTAAAGTCTTTTGTTGCAAAGCTCCAAATTATAATTTCATGTTGCTGCAATAAGACCTGCCCGTAAAGGCAAGCATAAGGTGTTTAATAAAAAAAATTGTGATCTCTGGACTCTAAGATTCAGTATGCTGGATGAATTAATAAGATGCCTAGTCTTTTTTATATAAAATGGAGGTATTATTTAATTAGCTTAAGTAAAAATATTTAAAAGTTCATTCAGTTCTTTACGCAAGACTCTTTGTTAGTAAAAGTATTGTAATGAAGTTTACCGTTGAGACCTAAATGGAGTTCGCTCATAGCGGAAGTTAGGTCTTGTATCAAAAAAGTTACCTCTCTGAATTCGTAACAATTAAAAAAAAACATACGCTCCGAGTCATGTATAATGAAACTTAGTATAACTATACAATAACAGGATTATATGTATAATACATGCGTGTTATATTAAAGAACCAGCCGAGAATTTTAAACATTTGTACATCCGTGCGAAGCTAGGACGAGTCGCTGTGATATCTAAAATATGATTAGTCAACTTGCAAATAGATATTGGCTGGTGAGTATTTTTGTTTAAAAATTTGGAGATCGTTTACACAAAATCTTCATAATATCAGAGTTTTTACCAAAAAATCAAGTTTAGTTGTTACATAATACCATGATGGTTTGATTATTATCTACTTAGTTTATTTCTTTCTATAAACTCAGTTTATCGTACTAATTGCAAACTAACAGTTTACGTAAAAGTAAAAAGTAAAGTATGGCGAAATCTCAGTGTTTATACACCGGAAGCCGAATGTTCAACAAAATAAGAAAGCTAATATAAGTTTTTATACCTGGGTGGTATTAAAATATATTAGCCTGACATACTTAAATACATTTCAGTTACAAGGTGTTGTTACGTATGATATAGCATGTATCTGATATAGCAAGAGTACAACAAGGTTGCGTAATGGGTACCTCTCAAGTCTCATTCTATTTAATATCTGCTGAGAATATATTCTGTGGACATAAAAGTCTAGACTGTTGAGAAGTAATAGAGCTTAAAATATCTTCCGCTAAGAACTCTAACAGCCACATAGAAAGCTGAAATAGCGAGATAAAAAGTATTAGAGACCTGCCCCGGCTTCGCACGGGTGAAATTGTAGGTGTTTCTACTTTTTTTTTTAATAAATATCATACGTTATTATATCTTACGTTACTCCTTGAAAATGTACCTCACAGTAGAAACATGAAATGTTTAAATCAGAAGATATGGTATGTTTCTCTTTTCTTTTTGGTATTTAAAATATTAATTTAGACAACGCCGAGTGGAATGGAATGGAACAACGCCAATGAAAATTCCAAAGAAAATATTTCACAAAATAAAAAAGAATCATCAACTTTTGTCTGTACATTGTAAAATATTTTGAAATATTGCAATTAACTGTATGGTAAGTGTTGTTGCGGCACAATTAAGACAGCTAATCTGGTCTTGATCAAAATATTATTGGTTAACTTTAGATATACCTTGCCGTTATCATATTCTATTGTCATTTCATGCCCTTAAACGAATTTTAATTTATTTATTATATTTAAAATTACTGCAATTGATTTATTAGGTAAAAAAGGAAAAAGATTGAATTTAAAATCATTATTGAAATTGAAGAGTAGAGTTAATGAGTTATGTTAAATGAATCGGAACGTTCGCCGTGCTTTAGTGCATGTTAATGAAATTAAAGCGATCTGTTGCATACACAAATATAATATTAAAATATATATGTCGAGCTTGGAATGTGGTAATACAATACAACATAGGGAAATATCTTTAAGAATTATGACATTTATAGATTAATAATTTTACTTAAAGCTATACCATATCAAATCCCTATCTGAATATCTTGTCTATAAAATAAAAGTTTGAAAAGAATATCATTGTTGAAATGGGACCAAATTATGGAAATTGCACTCATTTCTTTGTTGTTGACTAAGAACAACGCTTCTGGAATATTAATAGTCACCTGTTTTGTGAAAAAAGAAGGAATTTATTTTCTTGGATCGTCAATACGAAGAGATAAAAATATAATCATATAAAATTATAATCATAAGAACCGTAATCACTCTAGTAGATACAAATATCTGTAATGGATATTTAAATTGTACTAAAAATATTATTAGTACCTATTCTATGTTTTTTCTGCTTTCATCATGAATATTATTTATAATAATATGAGCGAAGTCCCACTGTTATAATTTTCATTATTGTATAATATTTCTTCGACAACACTAAAACTCTAATGCTCAATATTATTAAAATAACAGTGAATAAATTGTTTCTATGAAATCTTTTCCAGATGGGTAGAACTATTGAATAAATATTTACCTATACAGTAATATTTGATCTGTAGTTAACACATGACTGCTTCATGGGAACAATGTCATAACTTCAATATGTATATAAATAAAAAAAACTGAAGAGATCAAATAAAAAAATAATAAATTTAGTGTCAACCACGTTTCAGCTAAGGAAATTTGTTGAGGAATATTTTTTCAGTTTAGTCGTTTGTAATTAAAGAAATATTTATTTACTCATATAACTATATATCGTTATGGCATATAGATATATACATGGAAAATGTATTGAAATAACTAATAACTAACTGTTTATATGGTATAGTAATTTAAATTTATGAAGTTATGACATTTTTCTTGAAAAACATTTAATAAACATGTTTTTATCTGTATCGTATCAAAATACTAAATAGTTTCAACTCGTAAAATAATGTCGTTATTGTCTACATTATATTGTACTTACATATAAATTATGAATTGTTTTGTGAATACCTTTTATCTATATATACCCTCTCTGTAATGCTAATAAAGAATCGTTTTTCATTACTAACTAGTTTTTTAATAACACCTTAATAATTAGATATTTGTATTAATCCAAGAACAGTGAAAATGTAAAATAGTTATAACTCAAAGGTGACTGACTGACATAGTGATCTATCAACGCACAGCCCAAAGCCCAAATCCAAAAAATCCAAGCCCAAATCACTGGACGGATCGGGCTGATATTTGACATGCAGGTAGACGTTATGACGTAGGCATCCGCTAAGAAAGCATTTTGATTAATTCTACTCCTAAGGGGATAAATTAACGTGAGCGAAGCCGCGGGTAAAAGCTAGTCATTCATAAACACTACCAGTTTGCCAATATCATCTATATTAACAGTGTTACATTTTATATTTTTGTATTAAAGCATTTAATATTGTAGATTTATAATCGATGATTATGATGCCATCCTAAGGGAAAGTCCATCAGTTGGGCATAACTCGTTTCCAAATTCCGTTAGAGATAAAAAAATATATATTTGACTGTTACTTAGTTTTTTTCAGACCTGTAAGAAAAATTCTGAAGAAAGTTTTTGTGGTTAGATCTGAGAATAGTAATATTTATAATAGTCTTCACAAAAAATATTATTTTAAACAGTACTTTAAATAATAACTGAGCAGTATTCATTAACTATTTTTATATTATTAATTAGGTCAATGACCGCCGTATGGATAAACCGGTTCATGACAAATGT